TAGGAGTTATAGGTTGTGATGAGAATGTGTGTGATGGAACTTCTCAATGTAATAATTTCCGGGAAATGTTGGAAACGGTAGATGAACCTTTATGGGCAGGTTGTGACAACCACACGAAGGTATCAGTGACAGCAAGACTGTTAAATATCAAGGCAGAGCATAATGTGTCTGTGGATTGCTTCAACTCTTTTGTTGAAGTAATGCAGGAAACAATGCCTCGTGATAACATCATGCCAAATGACTTTTATGATATGAAAAAGTTGGTGGATAACTTAGGTCTTCCAGTTATACGGATTGATGTATGTGCTATGGGTTGTATGTTATATTGGAGAGATGATGAATATGCAGAATCTTGCAAATTCTGTAACCAACCTAGGTACAAGATTAACAGGAGGCAGGCGTAATCAGAAGTGTAGACCATGCAAGCAAATGTTTTATTTGCCTTTAATCCCCAGGTTGCACAGGCTTTATGCATCGCAAGCCACTGCTGAACACATGACTTGGCATGCAAATCATGAAACAGAAGAGGATTTAATGTGTCATCCTTCAGATGCAGAGGCATGGCAATATTTTGATAGAACATACCCCGAGTTTGCGCTAGAGCCTCGAAACATCATGTTAGGTCTGTGTGCTGATGGATTTGTCCCATTTGGGAAATCAGGAAAAAGTTATTCATGTTGGCCAGTTATCTTAACTCCGTATAATCTTCCACCCGGTATGTGCATGAAGACACCTTATATGTTTTTGACATTGATCGTGCCTGGCCCGCAAAATCCGAAAAAGGGCATAGATATTTATATGCAACCATTAATTGAAGAGTTACAACGGCTATGGGTTGAAGGTGTCCCTACGTATGACGTTTCTACCGACCAAACATTTATAATGAAGGCTGCGCTTCTTTGGACGATAAATGACTTCCCTGCTTATGGAATGTTATCTGGATGGAGCATAGCTGGGATCTTGGGATGTCCGATTTGTATGGAGAGATCGAAGGCTTTTAGATTAAAACATGGTAAGAAGGCCTGCTATTTTGATTGTCACAGGCAATTTTTGCCGCTTAATCATACATTCAGAAGGAATAAAAAAGAGTTCATCAAGAATAGGATCGAAAGAACACATCCACCATTGAGGTTGACCGGGCATCAAATTTGGGAACGCGTGCAAGAGTTTCCAACTGTTGTTCAAAACCCTCACGGCACAACTTTTGCATACGGATGTACACATAAGTGGACTAAACGCAGTTTATTTTGGGATCTACAATATTGGAATTCCCATCTTATTCATCATAATCTTGACGTCATGCACATAGAGAAGAACGTTTTCGACAATGTTATAAATACCGTGATGGATGTCACTAGAAAAACAAAGGACAACTTGAACGCAAGAAAAGATGTGAGGGATATTTGCGATCGACCAACACTAGATGCGGATGCAAGCAGCAGGGGACCGAAACCCAAAGCAGTTTATACATTGGACAAGGAGCAGAGACGGGTCGTCTGTCAATGGTTGAAATCGGTGCGATTTCCTGATGGATATGCTTCCAATCTCGGCAGATGCGTTGATATGAATGAATGCAAGTTGACAGATATGAAGAGTCATGATTGTCACATATTTATGGAAAGACTAATTCCGATAGCCTTCAAGGAAGTTCTACCAAACTTTGTATGGGGCGCCATTACAGAGTTAAGTAATTTCCTGCATGATATTTGCTCAACAATGTTGAAATCATCACACATGGAGAAACTAGAGAGAGATATTCCAATTATTCTTTGCAACTTAGAAAGGATATTTCCTCCATCATTCTTCGATTCAATGGAGCATCTCTTAGTTCACTTGCCTTATGAGGCCAAAGTTGTAGGTCCCGTCCAATTTCGATGGATGTATCCATTTGAGAGGTAAATTTTTTTTTAAATTAAATGTGAAATTACTTCATTATATATTATGTTACGATAAACTTTTTTCTACTGCAACTAGGTTTTTATATCCTTTGAAGAAAAAAGTGAAGAATAAGGCATGTGTCGAAGCTTCAATTTGTATTGCATATATTGTGGAAGAAGTGACAACATTTGCATCATACTATTTTGAGCCGCACGCGCAATGCAAGAGGCGGAGAGCTGGAAGAAATGATGAAGGTCCCATTGATCCCAATTGCAAATCATTCTCTATTTTCAATTATTTGGGTCGACCTAGCGGCACATGTAAGTTTCGTCACTTAACAGGCGAAGAAAAGCTGGCAGCCCATACATATATTCTATTGAACTGTCCAGAAGTTGAGCCATACTTCGAGTAAGTGTACATTTGTACGTATACGTCATGTGTGTCAAACCGTTGCTAATACATAAATGGTATTTGTTACTAGGAATTTCCGAAATGCAATGTATGGACTACCACCAAATGAGTTTGACCGTTTGTGCCAGGAACAATTTGCAACATGGTTCAAAACATATGTAAGTTGAATATGGACGAAATCCTATTTACTCGAATTTTTTATACATCATATTTTGAAATATATATTATTGACATTGTGTGTGTGTCACCTTAGGTTCACAGTATTGATGCTCAAGTTGGACATCAAGGAATGCTATATCATCTATCGTGGGATCCAAAGTCAAGAGTACGAACTTGGCCAGCATATTTCATTAACGGGTATAATTTTCACACTCGCGAATATGGAATGGGAAAGGCTACAATGAATAGTAGGGTGTGTGTTCAGTCATCCAATGGTGGCAATTCGCAAGGTGATTTCTATGGCTTGTTGGATGAAATCATAGAGATTGAGTACCATGGATCGTTAATGCGGGTTGTCTTATTTAAGTGCATGTGGTTCGACCCCGTGAAAGGAATGAATGTGCATACCAAATTTAATTTGGTTGAAATAAATCACAAGAAAAGATATATGAAATATGAACCATTTGTCTTGGCGCAACAAGCAATTCAAGTCTATTATGCATCATATCCTAGTTTGAAGCGTGACAAAGCCGATTGGTGGGCTATATGTAAAACCAATGCAAGAAAGAAAATCGAGGAACACTGGAAGGACATGGCATATCAACAAGAGGAAGTTCGTAACATCAATGAAACAGCTGAATACAACATTCCTACTTTACGAGATTCATGTGGTGCGATGATCGATGTAGATCCAACTGAAATTCGGGAATCAAATTTTCAAGTTGGTACACAATGTGATTTTGAGACAGAGGATGAAGATGATGATCAGGAAGAAGATGAAGATGAAGATGATGACGAAGAAGAAGGTGAAGATGAAGTTGAAGATGCAGATGAAGATGAAGATTATGATTTTTGAGACTTTTTACTAATTATGTCTAATTATTAGTAGTAATGCAACACGCGTATTTTGGTGTTGTCGTAATTTTTAATATTTCTGTTGTTATTGTTCTGTAATAAATTCCTTCAAAAAAATCTTTTTTTTTCCGCTTATGTAAAAAACGTTGCAAAATTTGTTGGAAATTTCCAACAAAATTTTAATAAACAAAGTTCTTAGGGTGAAATAAAAATCGTTGGAAATTTCTAACGAATTTTCCAACGAATTTTTAAAATTTTTTTTTTCAGCGAAATTAAAATTTGTTGGAAAAATCGTTGGAAATTTCCAACGAATTTTCCAACAAATTCTTAGTTTTCGGTAAATAAATTAACTGTTAACTTATTTCGTTGTAAAATTCGTTGGTAATTTCCAACGAATTTTCCAACGAATTGAAAAATTTGTTTCATTAATGTAATTGTTAACTAATTGCATTGGAAAATTCGTGGGAAATTTCCCACGAATTTTCCAACAAATTAAAATTTTCCCTTTTCATCTGTTTATTGAAAATTCGTTGGAAAATCCGTTGGAAATTTCCAACGACTTTTCCAATGAATTTTTAAAGTTTTTATGTTCCGCTCAAATGAAATTCGTTGGAAATTTCCAACGAATTTTCCAACGAATTAATAGTTTTTGGTAAATAATTTAATTGTTAAATTATTTCGTTGGAAAATTCGTTGGAAATTACCAACGAATTTTTAAAAGTTTTTATGTTCCGCTCAAATGAAATTCATTGGAAAATTCGTTGGAAATTTCCAACGAATTTTCCAACGAATTCATAGTTTTCGGTAAATAATTGTTTGTGCAGAATCAAATTCATTGCAAAAATCGTTGGAAATTTGCAACGATTTTTGCAACGAATTTAAATTTTTGTTTTATTGATTTAATAGTTAAATAATTTCATTGGAAAATTCGTGGGAGATTTCCCACGAATTTTCCAATGAATATAAACTTGCCCGTTCATCTGTTAATTAAAAATTCGTTGGAAAATCCGTTGGAAATTTCCAACGAATTTTTAAAAGTTTTTATTTTCCGCCGAAATAACATTCGTTGGAAAATTCGTTGGAAATTTCCAACGGATTTTCCAACAAATTCTTAGTTTCCGGTAAATAATTTAATTGTGAATTGATTTCGTTGGGAAATTCGTTGGTAATTTCCAACGAATTTTCCAACGAATTTTAAATATTGTTTCTTCCGACTTTTTAACGAAATTTTGTTGGAAATTTTGTTGGAAATTTCCAACGAATTTTATTGTTCGTTGGAAATGTTGTTGGAATTTCAAAAAAAAGCATTGGAATTTTTGTAATTTTTCAATTTTGTTGGAAATTTCCGAAATTTCCAACAAATTTTCCCACGAATTTATTATTCGTTGCAAAATTCATTTGAAATTTTGATTTCGTTGGAAAATTCGTTGGAAATTTTAATTTCGTTGCAAAATTCGTTGGAAATTTCCAACGAATTTTCCAACGAAAAGATAGAAACGCTTTTATTTGGTTCGGCAACTAGCTCGTTTGTGTCTACCGAGTATTTTGAGCACGACAAGATTTCTCTCTCTTCTCGTCCTCTTCGCCGTCGCCGCCCGCTCGCCGTCGCCGCCCTCGCCGTCCGCCTCACCGTCCGTGGTAAGTGCTCGCCGTTCGCCCTCGCCGTCCTTTTCTCCTCCTCTTCGCCGTTCACTGTGATGTCGCCGCGGGGGGCGGTCTCGGCCGGGGGGGTGGCGGCCGTGCGGGTAGGGCTCGTGGCCGCGCGGAAGAGGGTCGCGGCCGCGCGGTGGGGGTTGCGGCTGCCGGAGAGGGGCCGCGGCCGCGCGCGGGGTGGGGAGTGTGACCGGGGGGTGTTGCGGCGGGGAGGGGTCGCGGCGCGCGGGGTGGAGAGGGGGTGCGGTCGGGGTGTTGCGGCGGGGGAGGGGGTCGCGGCCGCGCGGAGGGGTGCGGTCGGGAGGGGGGGTCGCGGCCGCCCAGAGGGGGGAGTTGCAGCCGGGTGGGGTGGGGGTCGCCGCCGGGGGGGCGGGGAGGGGGGGTCTCCGCCGGGGGAAGGGGACGCAGCTGCGCTGGTGGGGGGTTGCAGCCAGGGGTGGGTCGCCGCCGTGAGATTCCGGCAGGGGGGGTTGGCGGCCGGATTACGGCCCAGGGGGGTTTGCAGCCGGAATTTTGCCGGGTGGGGTGGCGGCCGGATTCAGGCGGGGGGCTGGCGGGATTCCGGCGGGCGGAATCCTGCGGCCGGAATGATGCCGCTGGATTCCGGCGGCAGGATTCCGGCCTGGTGGGGGGGTCGCGGATGCAATTATAATTTTGTTTCAGAATTGTTATTCGTTTTGTAAATTAAATATGCTTCAGTATACAGTTTAGTGGCATCTGATGTGATCTAAATTGTAATAGGTTCTTCTGACGAGGACCAGTGACTTGACTATTTATCAGAGGCGGTACTCTGTTAGTTTCAATTTGTTAACATTATTTCTTGATATCTAATACAAAATGGTAAGGAAAATGATTTCATTTTCTGTCCCTAATACCTGTTCATATTTTTTGTAATATTTGTCTAACCTCTTTACTAATTGTCAGCATAATCGAGGAGGTCACATGCGGGGTGGGGGTTCACAAAGAAGACCAGGCCCCTCTGCTTCCTCATCCTCATACCCGGCCCTATCCTCTTCTCCCGTCCTGTCTTCGAACCCTGTTCTACCGTATGTGCAGGGACAATACGGACACATTGGCCCATCCTTGGATCCGCAGCAACATATTCACGAAGAACTGGGGGACATACGAACTGATTTTACTTCAGTTCCATCTCCTTCGGTGCCACCTACTTCATCAGTGCAACACTCAAATGAGGAAGAAGAGAACCGATTCCTTATATGCCCATGCGGAGATTCGTAAGTAATTCATTTTTGTATGTATATTTAAATTATGGAACGAATTTAAAAGTGTCCATGTTTCGAATTTTTCATATGCTTGATTGTCTTATTCTCTATATTGTTATAACATGTTTTCAGATTTACGGATTCTACGCATGTTGTGAGGGAACTTAATAGAATAGTCAATAACTATTGGATAGGGCAGTTTACATCTTTCAGCAGTGCTCCTAAAGAAATAAAGACTTTGTGGTGGAATGAGTTCAAGGTTAGTGTTGTTTTTATTTATTTTCTCATAACATAAGTTCGGTGTAGCATACTGATGGTCAATAATGAAATTTGGTGTGAATTGTTTGGTGCATTGTAAGGGATATCTCACTTGTGACCAATATAATTAATTTCTCTTGCTTTTGCTATTGATTGTAGCGTAAGTTTACGTGGGATGAAATGGAAGAGGCTTAGGTTAGAAGAATTTTTAAGAAGAAAGTCGGTGATCACATGCGTTATGTGATAAATAAAGCGAAGAGAACAAAAGAAAACCCGGATTTCATTACAGCTGACGATTGGATAGAAATTACGAGAACTTGGAAAACTGAGAAGCATAAGAAAAGGTGTGAACAGAACAAGAAGAATCGAGCTTCTAGTTCTAGTGATGGGTCTGCGTCAGCCACATATGCTGGGGGCTCTATTAGCATCGGCGAGCACAGAAGAAGAATGGTAAGTCTGTTTAAACTTGTAAGTTTATTTAATTCAATTGTGACTAATTTTTATTAAATTTTTGTAGGCAGATGAATTGGGAACGGAACCCACATTTACAGCTACATTTGAACGCACATTTCAAAAAAAGGATAAGACATGAACTAGCGATCGGGCAAAAGCTACTAAGGTATGGAAGGTTATAGTTTGGACTTTATCGAAACTAGAATGAAAATCATGCATGTTTTTAATATTTATGGTAATATATTTGAATTTATTTTATTTTTATCTATACTGTTAATATAGGAAAAATATGATCAACTTTTGATGAGCACTGCTAGTAGTTCTGGTTGTGGTGATGATGGTGGTGGTGGTGATGATGGTGTTGCTGTGTCTGAGCCATCGGTTGACAGTATGGCATTATGGGTGAAGGCAGCGGGTGGGATGAAAAGAGGAAAAATATTTGGGATGGGATCCTTGTCAAGGGCGTTTAAAACGAAGGCTGCTGCATCTTCATCCTCCAATGCGGCTGCTACAAGGAGGACACGACATAAGGAGCACATGACCCAAGAATTGTGCCAACTGAAACAGTTGCTTGTACAGAAGGACAAAGAAATGAAGCATTTACTTGGACAGAAGGACGAACAAATAAGAGTGATGCAATCACAAATGCAATACGTCATGCGACATCTCGATATCGATCGCAATGACGTTCCTTCTGTACCTCCTGTTAATGTAGCCGATCATGGGCATATTGATGAACCACACGATGATGCGGCGATTGGTGATGATGCTAATGATGATGATGCTGGTGATTTTATTGTCAGTCCCCCTTAGGTAAGAACATTTTTTTATAGCTAGTTCTACGTCAATGCATAAATGCTTTTTTTTATATTTTGGACAAATTCCATATCTTTATTTATGTTTCCATATTTCATCAGGTGTCGATACAGCTGACTGTTCCTGATGTCATGCCCAGTACCGAAGCTGCCAATGTCTTATGGTTGTCCCCCGTCCTTTCAATGTTTTCAATGTATTAATTGATGTTCATTCTTGCTTAGCTACCTTTATGTATTATGACATTCAATTTTTAATACCATCATGTGAGACTTTGCAACTTATGCATTGTAGAAATTAATATTGCATATGTAATTAGATTTCAAATCGAAGTTGTTCCGAAACAAAATTCGTCGCAATTTAGCGACAAAAAAAAATATTGCTGCAAATTAGCAATGACTTTTTTCACGAATAATTACGGATGAATTTTTGTAACGAACAATTATCGACATAATTTGCAACGAATTATTCATGGTTTCCCACGAATTTTCCAACGAAAAATTTGCAACGAATTTTCTAACGAAATTTTTCAAACGAATTTTCCAACGAAATTTCCAACTAAATTTTTCCAACGAATTTTCCAATGAAAAATTTGCAATGAATTTTCCAACGAAAAATTTGCAACGAATTTTCCAACGAAATTTTTCCAACGAAATTTTTCCAACGAAATGTTTCCGACGAATTTTCCAACGAAATTTTTCCAACAAAATATTTGCAACGATATTTCCAACTAATTCTCCAACGAACTTACCGACGAATTTTGTTTTTTGTTGCAAATTACCTACGAAAATTATTTTTTTGTCGGACATTTAAACGATTTCCAACGACATTTCCAACGAATTTTTTTTCGTTGGAAATTCTGTTTCCCACGATTGTTACAACCAATTATTACCGACAAATTCTTCCACGACTTTTCCAACAAATTATTACCGACGAAATTTACAACGAAATTTCCAACAAATTTATCCACGAATTTACCCACGAATAATTACCGACGAATTTTTCCACGAGTTTTCCAACGAATAATTAGCGACGAATTTTCCAACAAATTTATCCACGAATTTACTGACGATTTTTCCAACGAAATTTCCAACGAAAATGAAAATTTTTTGTTGGAAAATTTTCCGACGACGAATTACCCACGAATTTTTTTTCGTTGGAAAATTCGTTGGAAATTCGTTTTCCAACGAATTTTTCAGAATTTTTCGTTGGAAATTTCGTTGGAAAAAACTTGTTTTTTTGCAGTGTTATGATGATCTTAAGAGGTGATAGCATATAGATAAGGGGAGCAACATTGTTATTGTTAATAGTTTATACCAATTATTAACATGTTGTCTCTCAATGGTTGTGTTTGAATAGTATTTCACGATACATTGCTTTTATCCATCATCTCTTATGTATTATAACGAATTCTATTTGTCTCCGTTATTCTTTGATGATTATCATCACGCAGAGACGCTAAAATTTGCTTGTGCAAATTGTTGAAATTATGTGAACCTATCGAGTAGATCTTTATATTCCTTATGCAATATCATTTTTTTTTATTAAAGGGAGAGAGTTACTACGATTGTATGCATCTATGTTCCTTGATATACATATTTGTTGATGCATATGATGTTTGATCTACCGAACACAAGCTTCATTGCACATCTTTTATGTTTGTATGAGCATGTCGAATGTGGGGACATGTTTGATTGTGCGAAAATGAGCTGAATTGCATATACATTATTAGCGCCTTTTTACTGATGACAAAAGGGGAGAGTGATCAATCCATATCCTAGATGTGGTATTATGTGATATTTGAATCGGGCTATGATAAATATCAACCAACACAGGGGGAGCAATTAGCACTGCACATTTTTAATAGCTTATCATCTTTACTAACTGTTGACACCTGATTTTTAGCTCATTTTTTTTTCATATTTTCAAAAATCTCAAAATTAGGACTAGGAATCTTGGCCAAGCCTAGAAACCTATTTCTAAACCCAAAATAATTTTTTTTAGCATTTTTCTGCATTTTTCCTTAATTTTTTTAGTCAAAATAAGTGAGAAAATCAAGAAAATTAGTAAATGGAATCAGAAAATTTCATAAAAATAGTCATTAGTCTTATTTTAAATCCAATTTCATGAATATATCATCAATTTTGAAAAATCTCAATCGGGTATATGTTTTTCCCAAAATTTGGCAAAATTAAACCCGAATTGAACCAAAAATGCAATTAAATTTTTGCTAGTCATTTTTAAGTCATAGTGTCTTCACAACAAATGATTCTGAGCCCTTGAATTACATAATGGTTGGTCCAATTGTACAATTTGACATAAAAATAAAAAATCCACAAAATTTAATTGAAAATTAAGAATTTTGAACCCAAATTGGGAATCGTGCCCAATATGAAATTGTTGAACCATGAAAACCATCATTTCTAAGGTTAATCAGATGTGGGTAATTCAATTTTGGCATAAATTTTTCCTAATCAGGTCATTAGGACATTAAATTGAATAAAACCCTATTAACCCGAATATCAAAATGAGAAAATCTTGGACGTGATTATCACAAAAATTGGGGAAAATCACATGTTTAGGTTCAAATTGTGATGGGGAATTCAATTTTGGGATTTAATTTGAAAAAATCAGTCGAAATTGAGCTCAATTCGAGTTTTTAATCAAAACCGGGCCTGCCGGGTCGACCGGGTCAACCCAACTCGACCTGACGACCCGTCTTCTTCGCCCGACTCACCATAGAACGTTCAAAACCCAGAAAATTCCATTTCAAGCCCCCGACTTCACCGGCCTTAATCCCATCACAAAAACGTGTGAAATACCGATTTAATAGCTGGATAATCACAGGCTGTCATCGGTTATTCGGTCTAACCGATTCAAGGTCGGTTCTAACCGAATTTGGGTGAAATTTTTTATCAATAAAAAACTAAAAAAAAACTGAACATTGAGGAGGGAGTGTTCGACGAAAATCCAGAGAGAGAAAGAGGAGAGAAACATGCGAAAC